GTGACACGCAGTGGAAGGGTGGTCAAGGCACCTTCCAGGATGGACATTTAAGTTAAATTTATTTAGTTGCATTAAGAGGAACACTGTGTCAAGGGTTTAACCCTGTAGAACTGTGCTGAACGGTTATCATTTTTTCTGTTATTCTTGTTGCTGAGCAACCGGTTTACTCCATTCCTCAGTTATTGTTGTGAATGTTAACTTAAGGCTCAGAGTAGGTTTGTTTTTTCTCTCATTTTTGGAAAAAAGGGGATGTAATATTCAGTTCTGGTTTCACACCGTTTGCAGTTCCGGTCACATGATCGAAGGTGTGATGCATTCGTATAAGTTATTCACATGCTTGTGTGTATTTGCATATTCTTCTAGTTCTTCGAAAAAACATCTCTTGCCTGGTTCATTGGTTCATTGCTACGACATTTTTCATGTCACCTTTTTGTTCAACCTAACTCCCCTTCACACGATTTACCAAGAATACAAAAATACCATTAATACAGAGTCACAATGTATCAAAAATGATTGTAGACTATGGTTATAGTCTTGTAATTATCTAGACCGAAGAGGGACTCCGAAGACATCTGGGGACTGGTGCTATTTTTCAATCTCAAAGAATTGCCTACTGGTGTAACACAAACAATCCCTTTCTTTGCTTGGGCCAATCAGAATTGTCAATATATATGGACAACATATTGATCGATCCAAGCGATGTTTATTTTGACAGCAAAATGTAGCTTCTTTTGTGGAATTCGAAATAAATGTCCCTCATAGATAAGTTTGTAGTGAAAACGCCTGCTGTTTAAATGCAAAAGATACAGCAAGAAAATACCCCTTCCGCATGGCTGATAGGCTGAAGATGCATCTGTGATCAATCACCTTCAATGACAATCTGGAAGTCCATGGAAGTACACAAATAAAATTAACTTGCCCCTGGCAATCGGATTGGGTATTTCCTTCAATGCTTAGCAGAAACCTTTGTCAAGTTCTTAAGGTGTCTGCATGTACTGTAGGAGGTCAATTGCACTTCTGAACTACCCTCCTTTTTTCTAGTAGCAGAAAAATTGTTTTTCATGTCACCTTTTTGTTCAGCTCAAC